TCTGACGTCCCGTCTTCCAAAGCTTTGCAATGCAGACCTAAACAACACCAAAAGAGACGATATAATACGACAAAACACCAAAACACACGATGAACATTAAATACAACTCTAAAACAAACCTAAAACGACACAATTAAGGTTTGAAAAATGCACGAAAAACACGACAAAACACAAGAAACAACTCCCCACACACTTAATATTTTGTTTGTCCTCAAGTAAACAAAACAACAAGTAGTTCGAGAAGAAAGACTGAAAAGTTCATAAATAATGATCGATTTAAATGAAACTCACTTCTCCCTCTGGTTATCTATTACTATATAATACGGCTAAGAAAAATTAGTCAAGAAACTCGAAAAAAATTATTTCGTTTTCCCGCTTCATATTCCCGCTTTTTTCGTTTTATTACTTTATTCGGTAAAGTTTTTTGAATTTTTTTCATAATCCCGCCTATATTTCAATTGTAATATATTTGGACGTATATTTGATTCCTTTTTTTTTGAATCGATTTGGTAGGAATCGGACATTTTATTTCTTTTTGGAAAGGAGTTGGTAAAAATCGGATAACATCAATTTAAATAATTAATTACGAAATTCCACTTCTTTTTTTTTTTTTTTTGCCAAATCCAATTTTTATTATATAGATAAATTTCACTTCCTTTTTTTTTAAGCGATTACCTTTTTTTGTGGTAATTGAGATTCCAATATGTTCAAATCCTTATTTTTTGGTAACCAATTTGGTTAATTTGGCAGGATATCCGTTTCAAATTTGTTAGAAAACAAAAAGAATTACAATTCATTTCAAGATATAAATATCATAAGAATCCTTTTTTTTTTTAAGCAAAATATGAGATTAACCAGATTTTCCTATCCAATAACAAATATTATAAGATATTGAAAGAATCTGTTTGGTCATTGAGAAGCCTATACCATCTATATTGTTCTAATATTAATAAAAAAAAAGTTAACAATTAATTTAATGAATGATAATCTGAAAAAAAAATGATGAATTTTTAACCTAAAAGATAATAATATATTCTAAACGATATTTTAATACTATGAATTTAGTTAATAAACAATATAAACTCGAATGCGTTTATATTTATAAATAATATAAACTCCGAATGTTTATATTGTTTTCCTACACAAATTTGTTAAAAAATAAATGTTGGCTTATATACTATTAGACAAAATCAAAATTGAATATTATGTAAATTAGTGCCAATATCAAAACCAATTAATATAGAATAGATATGTCCTAACTAAAACAATAATTTAATCAATCTATCTATATATATAAAAAGGTTGATTATTTTTAAAATAATATATGTTTCCCACAAAAAAAAAAAAAAAGAATTACCTGATTTATAATGGTTCAAACGACTTACTTTAAGAATGGTTTAATCAGCATTTTTTAATTGATTGATTTGCATTATAGAACAAGATCTAATTTGCATTTTAGAATGCTTAAATGAGCATACCGAACAAACTGGAATGGTGCAAATGCAATAAATAAACTTGCCAATTTGTTTGAAATTTAAATGGCAATATTATTCTTACGGGTATATTTACCAAAATCTTAAAAACTTTAGAAACTTTTTTAAAACAAATTTAAATTATCTTGTCTTTTACACTATTTGAAATTCAAAATTACATTTTTAAATATATTAATATAGATTTATTATTTATTTTTCCTTATGTAAAAACTAATG